TATTATTAACACATAGGAAAGGATTTCTCTGGTCGAATTAGCTAGGCTTCCATCCAATTGGCAACAGATTTTCATGCAAATATTCAAAAATCAGCATAAAAACAATATGTGCATTTTGCCACTAGAGGTGTGTTTCCATCAAATTGACTTGTTGCAGAGAAAAGGCTGTGCGTGATGATGTAGTGCACATAAAAATACCTTTTTGCAGTTAAATTCCCATGTACCGAATAAAAAATACAAGTTAAATTGGTTTCCATCGCATTTTTCACTCTACTGATGGTTTTCTCACAAACAAATGTTGCATTATATAGTAAGTGTGCCCACTCTGGTATTGGCATGTGCGCTATAGCCAACAGCTCGCAGATACAGTGCGGGTATACCCTACGTTATGAGATTAATATGGACAAAAGAGCAAAATTATTTGTATTTGTCAAACAGCCGAATAAGACCCTCGATTTTTATTGGAAAGGAGCGTCAAGCTCATCACCTTGCACTTTCACCACCCTGTGAAGGTCATCAACATATATTTCATCTGTAGCCTAATAAACTGCATGCTGTCATCGCGTGACTCCATGTTTACTTCGATATGATGGTTATTATATCAATATTTGCCCATAAAAGCGTTTCCACTGACAATTCTCGCACAATTAATTTACAGATACAAAAAGATCCCACCTTGTCTATAGTTTTTGTTTTGTCGACATTTGGAACGTTTACCGATACATTTTCTGTTTCCATCAGGCCCGTCATGAAATTTGTATCCGACATGTACTTTACTCTCATAAAAAGGTTAGATTGAAACTTGGTTTGTGATGAGAAAATAACTTGCTTGAAAGATTTTGTATGTTCTAGTTGACAGAAAGGAAAACTCTGCTGTATCTCTCCCTTGCATCCAGTCTTTGTGAAATGGCTTTTCTTTTTGAAAGGGGGAAGGGAAAATCGATATTGACTAAATTGGAAAATTCCAAACGATTATTCCTGTTTCATCAGAGTACCATCTTGTTAAAAAAGACCCCTCCTGAAAACACGATCAATTAGTGAGATGGTGCATGCCATTGATCCCCTCTCCTCGCCCTCTCCTCCCCTGCCTCCCCTCTCCTCCACTCTTCTCCCCTGCCTTACAATGGATCCTCCATGCTTTCCTTATGACCATCTATTGATCCCAACCTCCTAGCCAAATATAAAACCACACTTGTACACACCAACCCTGACTGCTCCCTCTAACCAGCCCACACTTCCCATTCCTACAAACACTAGCACTAATACTGACTCTCTGCCTGTCTCTGTTGTAAAGCATGCTTCTCTATAAATACAGAGGCTAGCACCTTCTAAAGGTCAGGGGTCATCTGGCAGTAATGCCACTGTTAACTGACCTGTCTGTCTCTGAGTAGAGGGTAGAGGGAGAACTCCTTAACTAAGAGGAGGGAGGGACACAGACAGGGATACTGTATGTTCTGGTATACACAAGTTAGACAAGCTCTAAGAAAATATCAAAACCAGATAATGCAAAAGCAAAGCTTGGAGTATGGAGTGCTGTAGCCATACGGTAAAAAAAAACATTCAATCACCAGAGAGTCAGTCAACAACAGGGCACTTGTGTGGATGTAAACCATTAATATTTGAAATGGGCAAGACAGAGGAATCAATCAATCAGTCAATCAATCAGTCAAAGACCATTGACATCTTTGAAACAGAGGTCCCCTTCAATTGCATAAGTAAGAATGTCAGTGAGTGAGTGACAGATTGAACAATAACAAGACTAGTAGACGCTGCAAGCAGTATGACCTGATCAGTGTTTTACTCTGAATAAAAGCGTGACACAAGGGCATCTTTAAGAGTCATCTCCCTATTCTGACTAACCCCCTACAAGCCCCCTGGCTCCACCACCCCTCCCTATGGATCAGCTGTGATCTACTCTCTCCCCTTTCACTCAAATCAGGATTAGGGAGAAGGACGGAGTGGAGCAGCAGGAGAGGGAGGAGGGGATTTGTGTGTGTGTGGGGGGGGGGGGGGGGGGGGGGGGGGGGGACCGAAACAATATGGAAAGGAGATAAGAAAAAGAGGGGGGTTGGGCCGTTTGGGGAATTGCAAACTCCCTTGTGCTTGGGTAGGTGTCCTAATGACACTGCCTAATTACTACAAAATAAGATGGGCTAAGAGGAAGGGGAAAGAGAGGGATGAGGGAACACAAGGGAGAGGAAGAGAGAAAGACAAGGGCAGAGAGGAAGTGAAAGAAAAAGAGATAAAGAATGAACGAGTGGGGTAGAAACACTGGTATGAGCATGAGAAACTAAGAGAGAAGGGGACCATAGAGAGAAAGAGAGAGAGAATGAGAGAGAAAGAGACTGAATAGAGAGACAGAAACACTGAGCGAGAAGGAGAGATAGAGAGAGAGACAGATGGAGAGAGACAGAGATGGAGAGAGAGAGAGACAGAGATGGAGAGAGATGGAGCGAGATAGAGATGGAGAGAGAGCGATAGAGAGAGAAAGGGAGAGAGATGGAGATAGAGAGATGGGGCAGCAGTAGGGGGGTCAGTAGGAGCGGGTGGGCCCCAGCACACTGCATGTTAATTGGAGAACAGGTGTTGGGGCTGGGAGCAGGAGGCTGATTACTGCAGCCTCAGAAACAGCCCCCCTCACCCACCTACCCCCTCCACATACACATATTAATAATTTAGGCCCCAAGCAGTGACTCTGGGAAAGGTTCAGGCAAGGGGCCACAGACACATACACAATTGCACACACATCCATATACATACATACATAAATAAACATCTGTGCACATCCATGTACACACATACCCACCCACACCCACACCCACAAACACACACACACACACACACACACACACACACACACACACACACACACACACATACATTAATTTATGTATACACAAACAATGTGGGCATATTCACAGACAGACACGTTCTCTCTCTCTCTCTCTTGCTATTTATCACATACACACATGCACATGCACACACACACAAATCCACAATAAATAAAGTTGAGATCTCTGCAAGGACACAGTGCAACGCTACAACAAATTCCACCAGCTTATCCCAAATTACATAACTGCTAATAGGCTGGTCCCCAAGGAGAGGGATCCATGGGCCTGTCAAGAGGGAAAAGCTGCTATCAGACCTGGATGGGCCCAGTGTGATTAGAGGGTACAGTAGGTCAACGATCCCATTTAAATCCATCCTCACAGCACCACCATCAGCATGCACAGGCTCACACACTGATATCATTTAGATCCTCCAATTCACAAGCCCCCTATGCTACTTATAAACAATCTTTGGAGAGGTTTTGCCATGGAAGATGGAGGAAGAGAAGGGGGGTCGTTGGGAAAGTAATGCGCCAAATGAGCAAAACAGCTGCTCCTAGGGATTCTGGGAAAATCCAAAAGACAACAGACCAATTTTCCGTTATATGAAAACTATCTTCAGCAGAGATCCTCTGAGACACACTGTCAACTGCCAGCCAGCTCGAACAGAGAAGGAGAGAGAGGGAGGAGGGGTGAGAGTGAAGGAGAGAGAGGGAGGGGAGGAGTGAGAGTGAAGGGGAGAGACAAAGACAGAAGAGGGAGGGAAAGTGGGAGAGAAAAATCCTTGACATTTTGGGATGTATTTTGGGAGGGATGGAGGGAGGGAGAGAAGGAGGGAGGAAGAGTGAGGGGAAGGAAGGGGCGATGAAGGTTGAAGAGATGACATCACAGAAAAACCATTGTACAAAAGGTCTGCTTATGAGCATTTATCACAGTGGTTAATATCAGGCAGACACTGTGTGACTCCAAAATTCCTGGGACGTGGAAACCCTCACACATGCCCATTAAGGTAATGCGCCGTCTCCCTAAAGCCTGATAACTGACTGTCAGGTGGGGAGGCTACAGACAATACATAACCCCCACATTGCACGATAGACCCTAACTCTTCATGATCTTTTTTTATTAATATATTTGGCAGGAGTTAGGACTGTGTACAGAGGAGGTAATTTTAGTAGGACAGTGTGGACTAAGTGCAAGGGGCGGCCACAGTGTTCTGTGTGCTGACCAACCAGAGCAAAGTAAACACCGGCTAGACAGACATACAGACAGACAGACAGACAGAGACACCGGATAGACAGACAGACAGACAGACAGACAGACAGACAGACAGACAGACAGACAGACAGACAGACAGACAGACAGACAGACAGACAGACAGACAGACAGACAGACAGACAGACAGACAGACAGACAGACAGACAGACAGACAGACAGACAGACAGACAGACAGACAGACAGACAGACAGACAGACAGACAGACAGACAGACAGACAGACAGACAGACAGACAGACAGACAGACAGACAGAGACACCGGATAGACAGACAGTATGTGAGCACAGTCACTAACAAACACAGATGCTTACATTAGCACTGACAGGTATACTGCAGAGACACTAATTATCACAGACGCATGCCTCAGTGCCATAAACACTCACAGGGTGGGTGTACTCCGTTAAAGGGATCTGGCACAGCAACAGACCTAGAGGGCGAGCTCCTAAATATATACACACACACATGGACTGTACATACTCGCCCACACATTTAACATGCAGACATGTATGCACCCTGCCACCACCCCTACACATCTACACCCTACCCCTGCCCCCTCCTCCTCTCCCGTTGCCCCCACTAACCCTCCCTCTCTCACTGGGTCCCCTGTCTTTATTGGCCATAAAAGCAACAGCTGATTTGTGAGATCTCATCACAGGAACCACATGGATGTGGTTCTCTGCCCTCACTCCAAACTCTCTCTCCTTCTCCTCTCTCTCTCTCTCTGTCTCTCTCTCTCTCAAAATGTATGTTTGTGTGAGTATTTCTGCACCTGGGCATGTCTGGACAATGGACATCTTAGAGGCATGAGAGGGACAGTTGAGGGGGAGACAGAAGAACATAGGCTCAGTTGGGTTGTTTGACGTTGTCTGGGTAGTGTGAGTGAGTGACAGGTGGCGTTACCTGTCAATGATGACTGGGTCAGAGGGGGTCTCGTTGCGGTTTCCACAGCTTTTCTTCTCACAACAGCGACTGTGTTCCAAAATAATAACCAGAAAACACAACAACACAGTGAGTGAAACAAACCAGCATGACAGGACTGATCTTTCCTCTGGCCTGAGGACCGTCCCAGACTGCACTGCAGACTGCACAGATCCAGGGAAACAAAAAGGGCCAAAGACAAAGACAAAAAATAGACAAAAGAATAAAGAAAGGGGGAGAAAAGGTACCATACAAACAGGGAGAGACCATTCAAAAGTGAAAAGCCACCCTGGCAATCTGTCACATTGATTTCGAAATCAAAGACAACCCCCACCCCATCACACAGAGACACAGACAAACACATCAACACACACACACAGCATCCTACAATTCGTCAGCAGTCCTGTCTGTGGAGCCTGCTGGCCCCCTCTCCAAGTCCCCTCCGCTGCATAACAAAAGTGCCCCCACCCCTAACCATCTGCCACCCTACACCTCGCCTCACCCCTCTCGTGTCCCAGCTTGGCCTTGCCCTGCCCCCTTCCACCCTCCCTCCGCCCCCCTGTCAGACGGCCTCACTCCCCAGCTGTGACGCTTGCCCTCTGCCTCCCCGGCTCTGTTATTAGCCAGCTGTGAGTCACATTCGGGCATCTGCTGGCTACACAATGGCAAAGCTCACTCAGTCTTAGCCCTTCTCCCCCTGCCCAACCCCCCTCTCATTCCCTCTCCTGCCCTCAAACACTGGGTCACTGCCCCACTTCCCCAACACTAACTCTCTCTCTCACTCTGTCCCTCTCTTCCTACCTCCATACCATAGGAGGTTGGTGGCACCTTAATTGGGGAGGACGGGCTCATGGTAATGGCTGGAGTGGAATCAGTGGAATGGTATCAAATACATCAAACACATGGTTTCCATGTGTTTGATGCCATTCCATTTACTCCATTCCAGCCATTATAATGAGCTGTTCCTCCCCTCAACAGCCTCCACTGCTCCATACCTCCAAAAACACTGAATGCATGGTGAAGAAGCCCCGTCTTCCAAAAAGCACCATAAAGGCAGCTCTCTTCTTCCACCCTGACCCATTCCTGACACTGTCTTATTCTTCTTACACATGCATTAGTTTCCATACACATTGTTAGAAACTAAAGCATTCAGAAATGTGAGAAACTAATCTAAATCTAATTCTTATGTTTCAACATTGTTCCTATGTGGACCATTGTCCATGCATAACATAAGGGTCTGGGGTGGTGATGGGGTGGGGGGTTAGGGGGAGGATTATTCCCTCAACATGTTTCAGTGAAGGTTGAAGGGAGACTGGCCTGATACCTCCCCCTGTCTGTCTGTGAGGGAGGCTCCAGAGAGAAACAGGAGCTGGCGGGGGACACGGAGGGCAGCAGGGGGCTCACACTGTAACAAGCCTGATGACAGACAGGCTATACTTTCACTTCAACCTCAGTCTTATTTTCAAATGGCATACCACATGCCAGACACATCAAGACAAAACATAAATACATTTTTAAGGATGTGTGTGTGTGTGTGTGTGTGTGTGTGTGTGTGTGTGTGTGTGTGTGTGTGTGTGTGTGTGTGTGTGTGTGTGTGTGTGTGTGTGTGTGTGTGTGTGTGTGTGTGTGTGTGTGTGTGCGCACACGCGCGCGCGAGAGTATATGACTCACCTGCACATAACCTCGTGAGTGAGCAGAACCCGGCACATTTCAGGATTCTTGTTCTGTCCCTCATATGATATGGGCTGAGAGAGAGGGAGAGCGGGTGACGGGGGAATTAGATTTCATGTGCAATCAATCAAGCTGTAAGCATGAGCTCCACAGCAGGCTAAATCCAGTCAGTGAAAACAGGGCTCCTTACCTGTTTAGTGACGGAGTCAATAAGCCGTGCATAAAGATCCTGTTCCGTACGAACCCCTGCACACAGACATATACACAATGATTAGCGGAAACTAAACTAACCTCACAGAGACAACCAAATCCTGAAGGCATGGGATATGAGTGTTTTAGACTGGACATTTATTTGACTCCCATAATGGCCATTCCCTGGGTCATCCATACAGGTCAGATCAGGAGCAATGGAAGGCTTTAGGAGCTCTGGGATCTGACACAGCAAGCCTCCCAGCATGCTTTTAGAAAACACCGGAACCTTTGGTCTTTGGGTGCTTCAAACCGACTGGTTTTACTTCCTTGTAGGCTGTTGAGAATCACACAGGACAGAGAAACGGCATCGATGTAATCAATTGCTTCTGAAGAGCAGCATGTTTTATCCAAGTTTTTTTCTATGGAGCCTACTATGCAGAGTATTGCTTTTTAAAACGGGTTCCCCTCATCAAAGTCTCAATCGGGGGGCCTTTGAAATCACTAGAGGGAAAGGGAGGGGAAGGGAGGGTGCGGAGGCAGGCGTGTGTGTGTACATGTATATGAGTGTGTTTGGTCGGGGTCTTTTATCTCCTCTCCCATGGGTGCCACAGGGATGGCAGAGTAGGGGCAGTGGAGGCTCATGGGAACCCAAATCTCTGTGCACATCCCTTATCTGATGTTGTAACACCATGGGGGGCACCATGTACCTCGTTTCCCTGTTTATGGGGCCCGAAGCAGCTTCACACACAACTAAATCTGGGGCTTAAATAACTCAGCGATTGGATGAATGGATAGATATTTAGGAGCGGGGTGAGGTGGGATGAGAGGCAGAGGAAGAGGTAGGGAGAAGAGTACTGGGAGAGGGGGTTGGGGGAAAGTGGGCTTTTCCTCTTATATTTGGAACAAATGAGAAGTGGGTATGTCCATATCATGTCCATTCCATGGCCATACCATTGAGATGCAGGATGGTGTTTGGTCAGTGGTCTGGCTCAGGACAACCTGTTCCTCCTCCCACTCTAAAGTGGTCAGACACTAAAATGTTTTCGGGACATAGAATCAAGAGACATGAAACCACACAGAACATATCAACTCCTGAGTGCCCAAGTTCTCACACTGACATGAATGGGGCATGCTGCTCATCATCTGATGCCATGGTGGTTTGGAGGTCAGGTGGACTCACCATTACTGTAGAGGAGCTGTAGCTTGTAGTGCGTGCCGTTGTTGGTTTTTTCTCCCGTCTGCTCCTTGGAATGAGAGGACAAACAGACAAACACACAATGCAGTCATGCAGTTATAGCGCGGTGGGGTTTGAGTTAAGCACAGTTAAGAACACTTCATCCCTGGGAGTGGTGTGGGATCAGAGGGTTGTAGGTTTCCTACCCTGTAGATGGGACCCTGCACTGAGCTCCAGAACAGTGTACTTAACCTTGAATTAGCTCCTCTTTTTGAAGTTGAACTGCAGCATGTCTGATGTGAAATCCTAAAGCCGTGGGATCCTTATGATCACATACAACAGTGTACAAAGGATAATGTATGCAACAGGTCATGTGCGCACAAGCTCATGTGTGCACATGTATAGGTCTGCATGCATGCCTTTGAGTGTCTGTGTGTCTGTGTGGCTTTGTGCGTGTGTGCGTGTGTGAGTGTGTACTTCAATGAGTGGAAACTCTTTCAGTGCAGTCGACCTTGAAGGAGAAACTTCCCTTCCTCCATCCCTTCTTCCCCCTGGCTCTACACCACCCTCTTTCATTTTATCCCTCTCTTTCTCTCCCTTTCCTAGTCTTTCCCTAACTGGTCTCAAAGGAATGCTCTTTGGTCCAATAACCCAGGGAGCCGTCATCTCTGAGCAGAAAGAGGAAGACAGAGATGGGGAGAAAGTAAGAGAGATAAGAGAGGAAGGAAAGAAATTGACAGTTTAAAAGAGATGAGCGAAAGTGAGAAAGAGAGAAATTGACAGAAGAGATACAGTAGAGATACAGTAGAGATACAGTAGAGATACAGTAGAGATACAGTAGAGACTGGAATATAATGTTTTGTTCATATACACAGAGGAACATTCATTTCCCCTTATCACCCTTCCACCTCTGAATAACAACAAAACAAAACCAGATGCCAGGTTAACCATGCAGAAAATGAACTCCTCTGCAACCGTCATATCACTCTGCCTCGCACTGGCTGTGTGTGTGGCGCTAGGAGAAACACTGACAGCCCTCAGCCCTGGCATTAGCACTGACGCCCAGAGTGGAGCCCTGTCTCCCTCCCTCCCTCTCTCCCTGTCTCCCTCTCTCCCTCTCTCCCTGTCTCCCTCTCTCCCTGTCTCCCTCCCTCGCTCTCTCCCTGTCTCCCTCTCTCCCTGTCTCCCTCCCTCGCTCTCTCCCTGTCTCCCTCCCTCCATGTCTCCCTCCCTCTCACACTCTCAGTAAAACAAAACTGTGTTTGAACTTCCGTTGACAGGACAGTGCCCTCTTCTCTCTCTGAGGGGAGAGCTGTTACCAGTTTGGACCACAAGCCTCACACGCCCAGCTCAAGTTTAACCACAAGGCAAAAACATCCATCAACACTGGGCACAAGGCTCCCACCGTGGGCAGTGTACCCCTCCCCTACCCTGTCTCTCTGGTTCTCTCTAAACTCTCTCTTTCTTTCTCTCTCTTTCTCTCTCCCCCCCTCTCTCTCTCTTGATCTGACCGCCACTCTGCACCTCTTCCTCTCCTTCTTTTGGCCCCATGTCTGACCTGAGGAATTTACTTCTTCCCCTCAGCAGTATTTAGTACATGGGGGTGGGAGGAAAAGAGACTTTGATGATGTGGTCATGGTATAGCTTAACAGAGGCAAGCGTAATTTGCTTTTTTTTAAGTAGTGATGTCCCACTAATGAGGAAGGCTGCTAATTAGTCATTAGGTATTATTTTTCAATCGCTCATCATCAGCTCAGCTTATTGGGAGTGAGGCTTGTGTAACATGGAGCTGTCAGCTGTTCATTAAACTCAGCTTTATAGGGGATGTGGAAGGTCAAGTTGAACGCCTGGTTGTAGACTACTGGCTGCACAGAAATGTCCTGGTACAGGTTGTGCAAATGTGGTCAGCTTAAAGCTTTGCTAGATTGTACTGCTGTAATAGCTACCAACTTTTTGTTCACTCTTTCTGGTAAATAATAGCCAAAGAGGACATGCATAATAAAGATAAATACATGGAGACATATTATTCCCAAATATACTCACACACTCAACAAACTGAAACAAACAAACAAACACACCTTGTCGTGCTCTACAAAGTCCACAAAGGAAGTCCTCTCCACCTCTACAGGCTGTCCGTGTCTGTCATAGAGTGCCAGGACAAAGTGGAAGAAGTTGGACTTGCGCAGGTTAGAGGGGGGCTGCTTCTCAAAGTGGGCCCTGGAGAGAGCTACACCACTGTGGAGATGAGAGGAGAGGGAAATCAACTCACACTACAACACAATCCTCAGGCACACATCAAAAAAACTCTTACAACTCCAATCACTGTTTATTAAGGTCAACTGTATAGGCTACAACATAATAATTACAGGGTTATTGAGTTTAGACTTTGAGCTAATAAAGGTCTAATGAACAATGCATTTATTTGCAGAGAAAAGTAAATGATGAAAGAAAAATAAGTCTGTAGTGATATGCTTCCTGATCTTTATGTTTTTAATTTCTAGATTCAACAACTATTGCAACATGAATTGGTCAGGAATGGCAATATGGAGGAAATTCGTTTTGAAAAATACTCACTGAACAAATACTGTGGCAAAAACATCAAAGTAATTAGAGCCTATATGATTAATATGCTTAATTAATATTGAAATAAATAAATAAATAGCCTATTACTGTAGTCTAACTGTATTCTTGGTTGATGCTTAATTTTCACGAGCTGAAATTTAGATTATTTGTTAGCAACAATTCAACAATGGCTTTCAAAACGTTTTAAAGCATTGGGTTCAATGACTGTAACTTTCTATGCATGACCTACCTAGGAAATCACGCATTATCGATGGTGGAATGAAATGAAGACAAAAAATATCCTAACACTACTCTCAGTGTGGTTTTTATCATTAATTGATGGGTCAAAGTTAGACTTGCCCCAAGCGCGGATGCCTGCAGCTTAATTAACACTGATTGTTTATTGATGCTTCACCTCTTACACTAGGTGAGACCAAGGCTGTTTTTTTCGACGCTGCACAATATAAAGTTCCAAACCTTAGAGGTTTTCTTTCGTTCAGATAAAACGTGTTTCTTATACTGTGAAAGTTATTTTGGAACTCATGCTGACCTTCATCCTCTTGACATTTGAATAGTCCAAGGACAAAAAGTTTCAAAGTCTGACATAAATTAACATTTGCTTTAGATGGGATAATTGTGTGCAGCGTAATTTTTTTCGCATGCATAATGTAGGCCTAGCAGAAGACAGAAACATATAATTTTCCCACAGGACGAGAATAATAGGTTAGGTTGATAGGTGGATCCTAGCCTATAGGCCTACTCAATACTAAAGCGCGGGCCTGTGCCACGGTCCATTTCACCGATTTCAAACGGGATCCCACCAAATAAACACTGATAGGACACGTCTGAACTGTGTTACGTAGTTACAGCTGTACAACATAGGTTTGATTTAGAAATGCACATACCAAATAATTGTCAGAGAACTTTTAGGTAAAGTTACCATATCTGGTGAGTAGCCTATTATGAAAGTAGATATTCATGACGTGACAAAGGACTTCAATCAACAAATGACTCAAAACGTGTTTCGTTTGCAAAAAATTAATTTAAAATATGAAAAGACTGTGATCTGATTAACGTACATTTGAAAGGTCAGTCATAACCTTAATCGAACACACCAAATAACAGAGATTTGTTAAAAGCTTGTCCTAGAACCAGAAATCTGTTTATTTTGGCAAATACACCTTTGAAATTAATGTTTGGCTACCTTGTCTGCATGCTTACTTTTTTACATGTTCTCCTTTGAAAAATATAAACATAGGCTAATTTATACCAAGGCTATCTTAAACAGCCTGTAAATGTACTGGAGTATTTTAAGGCTAATTTATACCAAGGCTAACATAACAGCCTGTAGATGTACAGGAGTATTTTAACATTAAGAATTCACAAAGTTACTTTTAAAACAGTATGAAAAGCACTGAGAAAATATTTTCAATGCATAAGATAATGATCAAAAGAACATTTGATTTTTCTCCAAGCTCTTTCTTTTGGGGAAAGGGATGACATTATAAATATGAATTTGTCTACTGATTAATATTTCAGTAGACAAACCAATATAATTGTATTATTATTACTACTATTATTATTGGGTTATTATTATTATCAACTTACATCGTCCTTAGCCTATTGGATATAGGCCTAAGCTATGGTGATAAGAGAACTGGATGGAGATATAAAATCATTAGTGATTATAATAATTCAACATGGATTAATTAACAGACTTCAACCGTTAAAAGCGTTGTATGCGCTTCCTACAAATCAATAGCCAAGAGGTGTGATCCTCAATAAGATAACATTATTCCGGGCGCTCGCTTTCCTGACAGAATGCGTTTTTGTTTTATTGTTGTGTTTTGTTTTATCCCTTTCATGCTCGTGACACCGCCACCTCTGCTATTGACAGCGCGTACCCCGGACTAGCAGCACTCTTATCGCACATAAAGCCAGGGCTGTTCGAGATCTATTTTTTTACATTTGTCATTCTTTACCGCCGGCCATTAACTCCCAAAGTTAACTTGCTTTTTTGTTTCATCCCAAGTCTGGAGAAGTTTGGGGTCAATGAGTATCAAACAAGAAGCATGAGCATAATCAACAAAAATACGTTCTCTTTGACTGCTTGGCACCACCGGTCACTTATAGGCTATGTTATGGGTATCCGTGCATATAGGTTATTTGTCATTTACTTTTATTAATTATTTCCCGAACATAATATGCTTTTGGATATTGAAGTGAGACAACCTACCTACATAATACCCTACATCGACTCCTCTTGCATACTTAAAGAGGTCTAATTAATTTATTATACGTCCGTAATAGTGTTTTATGTTGTGTTGCCAATAAAAAAGATTGACTCCTGTATTTCGTCAAAATACCACAAAGGACGTGAGAACATGAAGGTATACTGTACCTTTGCGCCGCTACGTTAGCATCCACAACACCGACATTACGCACCCAGGACCGAACCGGATCCATCTCTCCCAGAGTTCTTTCTTTTAATCCGCTGACGTCTCTTATCAGATGCTCCTGGATCCCGTACATTTAAAACACAAACCAAACGCTGTTTTTTTATTTATTTGGAGAAATTCAGAGTAAACGAGAGAGCAATATCAATTTGGGAAACTAGAACTGGAAGGTCAGTTCCAGGATACTGTGCTATCGATGATGACTGAGGCTTAGCTTCCCAAAGTAAATAATACTGCTTGTCTTCAAACGTGCTAATGAAGGAAAACAGGCAATAGATGTATCTTCTGTTGGACTGCAATCATTGTCCAAGAACAGGGGATAGGTAACGTCCAAAGTCGGTTCGACCATAAACAAGGTTCACCTGTTTGGTGGACATGCGCGCACTCCTCGACAAGCTCATGCACACCGTAGATATGCACACCACAGATATGCATGCACACACTTCCTCACGAAAGTCCTAAAATCAGGTGAAAAATATTTCTCAAACAGAGTAGAGAGACCTTTTGCGCTTTGAATGTATGGGCCAAAGAGCTGGCAATAATGCTCCACAGTCCTGGAGCATGAATGACTTCCTCTGCCGGGATAGGGTCGGGGGGAGGGGCTACACTGCCATATGGGGGACCGATTGTTGAAATTGATGCTCTCATTGGTGTAAAATGCCTCCGTTAGTTGGACTTATGCTAATTTTTAGTATTCAGCTAGCCTATAGCTCTCTCGTCTCTTCAAACTTTTCTGTAGTGAAGTCCTACCAAAGACCGCTTCGGATTCCAGGTGAAAGAGGGCTAACATAAGCAACAATTCAGCTGTTTAGACTAATTGATTATACAAACAAGAATATGAAATGTAACCAAATATATATTTTTTATGTATTACTTTTATCAATTTGGTCAAATGAAGAATTCATACAATGGTCCTTTATTATTTGTTGACTATCGAACTATCAGGCTACATTATGTTCATTGCTTGATTTTGTGTTTCAACAAATTATTCTTCAATGTTGAAATCAACTATTTATAATTTCAGTGAACACAATAGGCTTTCATCTTGGAACTAGGTTATTTACTGCAGCCACAAACTAATTCAGCCATTGATAAGAATCACCTAATATATTTACTACTTCATTTTCGATTACTTGACGATTTGTCAGTGTTGCATGCACGCAATTACCATGGGAGAAAATAATTAAGCTAAGTCAGCAAATTCATGCAAACCGAAAGAAATAACATAGACAAAACATCCCTTTGAATAAGTTCCATTTGAAATATGAAAGGCCTGCAAACAGACAACTAAGCCTACACCTTGCAGAAATGTTTTCTAAAGTTTACTAAGCATTTAAGTCTAGGCTACTTAAAACATTTCAAATGTTATATTATTGTTTACACACATTGCATTTCCAGCAAAACTATTGACCTATTTAGTTTGCTATTCAACATTTGGCCCAAGTTTCAGTTCTATTGCTTGCGTTAGGCATTCTATTGCAAATTGTCTTTTAATAGGATAACTGGATTAAAAGTCTAAAGCAACGATCCTGAATATCTTATTTGGCGTTTTCAGTCGAGTCATCAATAAACACAAGAGCGCACCCGGCAAGCGCGTTGCCTATTCAACCAGCCACGCTCTCGCGCTCTGTCTGCTCTCCTTGAACAATGCGCAGTGATTGAAAGCTGTGATTCGACTAAGGATATCAGTGTCGTGCTAAACAATTATAGTCTGGTTGGTCTGTTAATCTTCACTGCTATATTGTACATTCCCTTTGAAAAAGTTCCAATTTGAAATATGAAAGTCCTGCAAAAAGTCAACTAAGCCTATATGAAAGTGCTGCAAAAAGACAACTAAGCCTACACGTTGCAGCACATTTTTCTAAAGTTTATTAAGCATTTAAGTCTTTGTTACTTACTTAAAATGTAATATTATTGTTTACACATATTACATTTCCAACAAAACTATTGGACTATTTATTTTGCTATTCAAAATTTGGCCCAAGTTTCAGTTCTTTTGCAAATTGTATTTTAATAGGATAACTGGATTAAAAGTCTAAAGCAACGATCCTGAATATCTTATTTGGTGTTTTCAGTCGAGTCATCAATAAACACAAGAGCGCACCCGGCAGGCGCGTTGCCTATTCAACCAGCCACGCTCTCGCGCTCTGTCTGTCATGAACAATGCGCAGTGATTGAAAGCTGTGATTCGACTAAGGATATCAGTGGCATAATGCTAAACAATTGTATCTGGTTGGTCTATTAATCTTCACTGCTATACGTTTGTGCTGCTCATCCAATACAGTGCTGTGAGTATGAGGCAACACGGTTGGAAGTTCTGTCTAAAATGTTACAGATATATGTTTGATACGTTTCAAATTAACACAGGATAAATAATGATATCTGCTGTAACAACAGCCAATGCAATGACAAGACAGCCATGAAAAATAATGTGGTTTTATGTTTAAATTGGAGAGGCTATCATTCGAAATAAATAATCAATATATAGTTTGTGCACATTCCAACATGTTCCATAATAGAGGAATCATATCTCTTGCTTATAGACATAGGATGTGAACCCGTGTTCAATTCATTTAACACATTTTGAGTTATAAATGCGTTCAAGCATATCAAAAATATTCTACAGTTGGAAAGTTAGACCTCATCAGTCCCAATGAGGATGTCATGTCACTGAAGAGCCTGTGCAGACACACCGTTACGTTTGCAGTTTGTCTGTCTGCAATAAACACTGGCCAGGTGTGTATGATGCGTTTTACTGAGGTTTGTACCATAAAATGCAAAATGATTTACATTACAATTGCTGACAAACTGCATGTTTCTATAGGCCTACTGACAGGTGTGCTCGATGAGCTGGCAGACGTTTTTATGCGTTTTAATTTCCAGAAACGTTTTTTTATTTATTAATTTCCGTTGCTTTCTTTATCCATCTTTCTGTATCTGAAAAGGAAAGTTTTTTCATCCCTTGCTCCTTGCGGAGGCTATTGTCTCTGGATTGAGCTCCAGCGCCTGAACAATGAACCTAAATCTCCCTCCTTCGAACCCGCCTCAACCGACCATCTGCCAGCGCGCGACAGAGTCAGATGTTCCCCCAATTATAAGAACAGTCTTGCGGAATCCTTGCCACTGAATCTTCGCCCCCTCCCCATGTTCGTTCCACACTCATCTTCCCCGCATCCCGACTTGTTTGATTGACAGCTCTGCTTAACCAGAAACCATTAAATAACTACAGATGCTGAAAGAAGTAATACACAAGTAGCCTACACCGAGATGACATCACTAAAATAACCGCACTTGCTTTTACAAGGATTTTGGCATTGAGGGCTGTCTAGGCCTAGGCTACTTATTGTGAACTATAGCCCACCTGCTTTATGTAGGCTACCCATTTCCTCTCAGGTGAATGGAGTCATCTACTGGCAGAAGAGAGACCTTCTTGACTTCTGGACTAATGGAGGAGGGCTATTGGCCTAAAACAGTAGACTCCTCAGAAGCGATTGAAGGACTCTCAGAACTTCCTCAATGCAAACATTGATGTGTTTGCTCTTCCACTCACAAGTCAAGGAGCATTGTACACGGAGAGGGTGGCTAGACAAATGGGACTCATGTCAATAACATTTTTGTCAGTTCTAAATGACAGCCAACTATGCCTAGCAGTATTTGCAGTGCACTCTAAAAAATGCTGGGTTGCCTTCCAAAAATGCTTTACAGATGGGTAGGTCTAGCCATGTAGCCACATCGAAAGAAAAATGAATTTGCTCGCTTCGATATTGTAGCGAAAATTGGCTTTCTAATTAATTTAAGCCACTGAGACGGTCATCCGCGCGTGTTTATGGGGGGTGGGACGAGGAATCAGTGACTGCTAGACCGAACAATGGGGTATCGTGTGCCACTCTCCCTCTACAAGCATTCCCTCGCTCCCACGGGAGTAGCCTACCAGCGCCACTCTCTATGGATGGCACTCGGTCCTAGGAGGTCACGGGGGCGTGTGGGGGATGGCCCAAGACGCAGCAGCTGGTTCCCGTCCCCTCATTCCACTCGGATGAGAACAATGGGATAATGCGGCCCACCACGTCTGTATCGATGCTAGCCTATATATTGCGCTCATTTATTTGTTTACTTATTTAAGTAAGGTCAGTCCCAGGGGAAAATAGGCAACAACAATTAAAAATGGTGCGCAGTCAAACCACATCTTCTGTTATCCTCTGTCTGTATCATTGTAGGCCTATAGATTTTTCTAAATCATTATCTTCGGTAATATAACTTTTTTGTTAATGAAAATGTTTATTGAATATGTTAGTTTTCTTTAATATTGCTGATGATTGGTTTTAAAATGAATAGGCCTGTTAAAGTTGACAACATTTGAAAGTTGGCTGGTTTTATGTATATTTTTGTTACAAATTTTCTCTATGCACAAAAAGTTATGTTGTCTAGTTTGTCTTTTTTTTGCACATTCTTGACTCTTAGTTAGACTGAGTGTACAAAACATTAGGAACACCTACTCTTTCAATTACAGACTGACCAGGTGAATCCAGTTGAAAGCTATGATCCCTTATTGATGTCACTTGTTAAATCCACTTCAATCAGTGTAGATGAAAGGGAGGAGACAGGTTAAAGAAGGATTTTTAAGACTTGAGACAATTGAGACATGGATTGTGACTGGGCAAGACAAAAGTGCCTTTGAACAGGGTATGGTAGTAGGTGCCAGGCATACCAGATTGAGTGTGTCAGAACTGCAACCCTGCTGGGTTTTTCACTCTCAACAGTTTCCCATGTGTATCAAGAATGGTCCACCACCCAAAGGACATCCAGCCAACTTGACACGACCGTGGGAAGCATTGGAGTCAACATGGGCCAGCATCCCTGTCGAACGCTTTTGACACCATGTAGAGTCCATGCCCCAACGAATTGAGGCTGTATTGAGGGCAAAAGGGGGTGCAACTCAAATTTAGGAAAGTGTTCCTAATGTTTTGTACACTCAGTGTATAGGCCAATTTAAATAAAACAGACATTTCATTTAGATTATTAATTATATGTGTGATAAGCCACGCACTGTCGCCTATAGGCAAATATCTGGCATCCAAGGGTAAGAAATTGGTTTATTTTTTGCACATTGTTATGCCTATTGCACTCAACCGTGCCCCAATGCGTGAAATCTGTAGCTCAACGAGCAAAAACAAAAAACTTGTTTAATAAAAGTATAACGTGTGGAAATATACGTATTTGGTGAAAAGCCCTATACACATCTTCCACCTAAGAAGAAGTGTGCGAGCCGAGGTGGAAAATTCACGCCCCCCCTTTGGTTGAGCATGAAGTGCATGCTGTGCTGTGTCTCTCTACTCCAAAAATGTGAGGGCAGGTCTTGACTTGAGGTGACACAGAAAACACAGAGGAGTATGTAAATGTATTATTTTATTGTTGTATTTATTTGTATTTATTTTTTCGGAAGATGAAACCGTCAGAATATAATTGTTTATCAAAAACTGATTTGAAT